TTTTTTTTTCCTTTTAGGGAAGTACTTTCACAGAAAAGTTTTTGCCAGAGACCCAGCTTCAGATCTCTTCAGAGTGTAAAGGATCAGCAATAAATAATAAAACCCAGAAGGTTGGACCCCAGACCTTTATCCAAGTCGCTCAGAACACAACTGTTGTTTCCCCATCCCCACCCTCACCCCCATCCCCAGAGGAAAGCAGATGCCGTCACTGGGGTGAGAATCATACCTAGAAAGGGGAAGCCTTGAAAAGAAGCCTCCACTTCTGCCTTCCTGAACTGGCGGGCCTATATAATCTGAGTGATTATGTAGATTATAGTCAGTGGAAAAGCAGTGGAAGAAGGGGGGAGTCTAACCACTGCACCTGCCTCCTCACAGTTCCCCGCCCTATTATTGTTGGAATAATCAGGACTGGTCCCATTGTTCATGCTTACCTTCTTGATGTTATACATACGGATGAGAACCCCCTGACCGCGATCATTCAAGATAGTGAGCTTCTCTGCTAATTTATGCTGGTAAGCAGATGTCAAAGACATGATGGCCACTAAGAGAGAGGAGCACCAGACAGCAACGTCTGATCTCCCCAAACACTTTCAGCTTAGGTGGTGACACCCTCTGGGCAGAGGGACCCAGCGTGGTTGGTGCGCTGGTCTTCTGTTTCCTCTGCAATTGGCTCATGGGTGAAATCAGTCATTATGGCTCACAGGCCCTCAGAGCCTTCTTGTGCTTCCTCTTGCACACTCAGCAGGGGAGACTTCCTCTTTCTGGCTGTGCAGCACTTTTGGTAAGGCTATGAAGTGGGTGGAGCTGAGGAGAAGGACAGGCTTTCCAGACTCTTCACAGACTGGCACCAACCTTTTTGGTCTTATGCCCCCATAGGTGTCCTAAATAAAGCTCTACATCAGGCTGGGCGTGGTGGCTTATACCTGTAATCCCAGCACTTTGGGAGGACAAGGTGGGAGGATCCCTTGAGCTCAGGAGTTCCAGACCAGCCTGGGCAACATAGCAAGACCCCATTTCTATAAAAAAATAAAAATAAAAAGCTTTATGCTAGACAAACAAGTATCTACCACCCTACCCCTGTACACCTCTATATTTTCGCTCTTTTGTATCCAAGAATGCCTATGAACCTTCAGCCTCATCATCTTTTAGTACCCAGATCAAATCCCATCTTCTCCTAAAGACCCCATCAATGTTAAATATTGTATTAAATTTTATATTGTCAAATACATATATTCCTTATTATATTTTTATAGTGTATGTTGTATCTCCCCCAACTATAGCATAAGCTCCTTAATGACAGGAATTATATCTAATCCTTTTTTTGTCTTTTTTTTTTTTTTTGAGACGGAGTTCTGCTCTTATTGCCCAGGCTGGAGTACAATGGCGCAATCTCTGCTCACTACAACCCCCACCTCCCGGATTCAAGCAATTCTCCAGTCTCAGTCTCTTGAGTAGCTGGGGTTACAGGCGCCCGCCACCACGCCTCGCTAATTTTTGTATTTTTAGTAGACACGGGGTTTCACCGTGTTGGCCAGGCTGCTCTCGAACCCCTGACCTCAGATGATTCGCCCGCCACAGCCTCCCAAAATGCTGGGATTATAGGCATGAGCCACCACACCCAGCCTCTAATACTTTTTTATATTCCCCACAATGCTCTACTTCAGTGCATTGTACTTCTACAGTACATAGTAATTCTCAAGAAGTACATGGCAATTCTCAAAATGTGATCCAGCAGCATCAGCATCACCTGGAAACTTGTTAGAGATGCAAATTCTTAGGACCTGCCCCAGACCACTGAATCCAAAATTCTGGGGTGGGTCCAGGCACTCTGTGGTTTAATAAACCCTCCAGGTGATTCCAATGCACTCTCAAGTTTGAGAACCAGTGCTCTAGTGCCCTGGTATTTATGCGTGCTTGAGAAACAGACTAATCCCTGTCCTCTGAGATTAGCATTGATAGGTAGGTGAGTCTGTTGTGGGGCCTAGAAGTCTGTACCTTTATAAGCACTGTTGTAGGAGGTTTTGTTACAAATATTCCATGCTGAAAAACGCTGATCTAGAACAACACCTCTTGGACACAGTAGTCACTCAATAATTATTCTGGTTTATTTGTTGAATTATTAAGACTAAATTAGGAAATAGGCCCCATGAAGAAGAACCAAATTAATCAAGATTAAAAAGAGAAAATTAGTAATCACCCTTAAATCTTAGAGACTTGAATGAATTTTAGCATTAAAATATTCTTGCCATTCCAATGAGGCCTTAACTCCATAACTCAAGGAAATTTTCAACTCATTTCAACTTTCTTTCAAGACACAAAGCAAAAGGTCCTAGGAAAAATTATAAATCAAAAAGCGTTCTCTTCATTTCCACCACCTTGCCAATTCCTTTTCTCGGGTTTTCAATCATTCCCATTTTCCATATCCAGTGTTCCCACTGTCCCAATAAATTCTAGGGAGTGGGAGAAGAGAGACAAGGCTGATCAGCACTATTACTTAAGAAGTTGGGGCCAGGTGAAGTGGCTCATTCTTATAATCCCAGCACTTTGGGAAGCAAAGGAGGAAGGATTGCTTGAAGCCAGGAGTTCAAGACCAGCCCGGGCAACGTTGTGAGACCTTCCCCCACCCCTCTGCAGATAAAATAAAATAAAATAGCCTGGGTTGGTGGAACATGCCTGTAGTCCCAGCTCCTCAGGAGGCTGAGGTGGGAGGGTCGCTTGAGCCCAGGAGTTCAACACTGCACTCCAGCCTGGTCGATAGAGTAAGACTCTGTCTCTAAATAAATAAATTTTAAAAGGCAAGAAAGAAAAAGATACTTGAGTACTATATTCACTACTTGGGCATGGGTGATGGGTTCATTAGAAGCCCAAACCTCAGCATCACACAATATACCCATGTAACAAACCTACACGTGTATCCCCTGAATCTAAATGTTTTTTAATTTTAAAAAGAAACTTAACATCCATGCTCCAAAGAGAATGTATTTTTAAAAGAAGCAGCAAGATGGCAACACTTAACGCATGAAATTTCAAATACCTCTAAGGTAGAATTTGCATTTTAGGAATACAGAATCTGCCTTCCATTTTATTTACTAGATTGGGTCCCTAGAAAGCTGTGGGCTCGAGGTAATGTGATATTGGTCATGAAGATTTGAATCACCTGCTTTTATCAAAGAACCCCAGGTTTTACTAAAGCAATTTGTAGGATTTCTACTGGTCTTTTACCTTTACCAAGGAGAATATGGAGCAAGCAATAAGAGGCCAACATCTAGGAAGCTTAGCAGCAGCATGGCACCAGTCTTCGTGAGGTTAGTATAATTCTATCTCTATCAGCTCTTTCTCACTTGCATTCCTTTTTTTTTTTTTTTTTTTTTTCCCTGAGACAAGCTCTCACTCTGTTGCCCAGGCCGGAGTGCAGTGGCATTATCATGACTCACTGCAGCCTTGACCTCCCAGGCTCAAGAGATCCTCTCACTTCAGCCTCCTGAGTAGCTGGGACTTCAGGTACAGGCCACCACGTCTGGCTAATTTTTGTATTTTTTGAGAGTCACCTCACTTGAATTTCTTGTCTGTATCGTGAAAATGTGGTTGAAGACTCTCCATTCCAAGCCAATTTTGTTTTCTGCTCCTTAATAGATACTCCCCAACTTGATGGGAACCATCTTCTCAGCCTGCTGTGAACGTGCTATGTTCATGTCTGCCTCTCTGACTTCACTTACGCATGCTTTCCTTCTTGCTTTCCCAAATCCTAGTCAATCTTCAGGATCTAGCTCAATAGCCCCAAACCTAGGTTTTGCCGAACTCCCACAACACTTGGTCTATACCACATACTTTATATCTAAATCAGGCTGTCCTTAACTGCCCATTTCATATAATACTGCCTAGCCAGCTGAACCAAAAGATTGTTGAAACCTGGAAACACTTATTCCCCTGTACTTAGTATATGAGAAAAGTCTACACTTTGTTATCAGACAGAATATGGCTCAAGTGTAGTTGAGTACAGTGGGCTGAGCCTTATGATTCAGTGACCAAGAGCCCAGGTTCTGGAACCAGATATCTTGAGTTCACATCCTATTTATTCTGTCTGTGAAATAAAGATGATATCGATAATACTTCCTATTTCACGGAACTATTGTGCGTATTTTAAAAGTTATAAACTAATTACTTACTCTGTACATGTAAAGCATTTGAAGTACTATAAGCACTCAAGCTGACATGTATTACCTCGATTAATATTAACAATGCTAAACACTTAGTAGCTTTGTAACTTTAGCTATCTATCACCACTGAGTTGTTTCCTAATCTATAAAATGGTGGTAATCCCTCACACAATTGTGGAACTGACGAAATAATATGGCATATGCAAACATTTGGTTCAAGACCTGCTACATTGGATTAGGAATGTCAACAGTAAAGTAAAATTTTGATCTTTGAGTGTGTAGTGAGCTTGTTATGTCACTTTCTGTGGATTCTATTTGACACTCATAAACAGAAACTCTAGGTTTAAAAATGGAACTAGGCACAGTGGCTCACACCTATAACCCCAGCACTTTGGGAGGCTGAGGCAGGCAGATGGCTTGAGCCCAGGAGTTCAAGACCAACCTGGGCAACATGGTGAATCTCCATCCCTACAAAAAATACAAAAATTAGCCGGGCGTGGTGGCACACACCTGTAGTCCCAGCTACTCGGGAGGCTGTGGCAGGAGGATTGCTTGAGCCCAGGAGGTTGAGGCTACAGTGAGTTGTGATTGCACCATTGCACTCCAGCCTGAGAGACAAAGCAAAACCCTGTCTCAAAAAAAATTTTTTCTGCCAGGTACGGTGGCTCACGCCTGTAATCCCAGCACTTTGGGAGACCGAGGTGGGCGGATTACCTGAGGTCAGGAGTTCAAGACCAGCTGGCTAGCATGGAGAAACCCCATTTCTACTAAAAATACAAAAAAATAGCCGGGTGTGGTGGCACACACCTGTAATCCCAGCTACTCGGGAGGCTGAGGCAGGAGAATCACTTGAACCCAGGAGGCAGAGGTTGCAGTGAGCTGAGATCATGCCATTGCACCCCAGCTTGGGCAACAAGAACAAAACTCCGTCTCAAAAAAAAAAAAAATTAATGGAACTAACTATGCCAACTGGTAGTCTTTAGAGAAACTTATTGGAAAGATTATTCAGCAGTTTCTCCCATAAGCTGGAGGAACCCTTCTAAAGGTATTTAATTACTCCCAAAGTACGGTCTGGTAGCCCTAGCTGCAAAGTAGAATCCCTTGTAGAACTCTTTTTTTTCTTTTTTTTT